CCAAGATCCTCAGCCTGCTGCGCCTGTTGAGACTGTCTCGACTCATCCGATACATACATCAGTGGGAGGAGGTGAGTACGCAACCTTCGGCTATCGACGCGCAGCTCTCTGTGCAACTCGTATTTGTTCTGAGGGCTTGGTGGTGGATTATGTCCGTCCATATGCCGCAGCGATCGTGTATCTCGCTGGTATACCGTTGTGCGGGTGATTCCGTAGCCAAGTATCGTTCTGGGTGTGCCGCAGCCACGTATCGTGCTGGATATACTGTGACGCTGGTATACCATTGTGCGGGTGATTCCGTAGCCAAGTATCGTTCCGGGTGTGCCGCAGCCACGTATCGTGCTGCATATACTGTGGCCATGTAGGATATCAGTGATACGACAGTGTATTGTGTTCCTGTACCAAAGCCTCGAATCATGTTGGATTACGGTTGCTGTGTGTTGTTCCCGTAAACCATCGCTGCAAATCATGATACACATACCATAGCGCACGGTACCAGTTATATACTGAGTTTTCCGTATCGTGCCGGATATAGCGTCGCTAAGTATGAAGTTATACGATAGCTGCATCGTGTGCAGGATATACTTCAGTACATCGTGCACGGTGCATCCGATCATTTCGGATATGATATGATACTCCGTATTTATTTACTCAAATGCAGGTGGGATTGGGGGGTGGGGGGGGGGCTCTATTATGACGAGTGTTCTATTTCGCAGAATATTTCGAAATAATACCAAACAGCATCATACAGTAATTTTTTTCAACTGTTTGTTTCACCCCCCTTACCAATCAATTATAATATATAAATGTCCACAAATGCAGAGCATTGGGGTGGAGGGCGCATTTATTCATACGAACGCATCATGAGATGCTTGTGTGATAATATTAGTGTCTCTCATCGGAGATAATTAGGCTTACGTTTCCTGATGGGAAAAGGGAGGCATTTATTTGTTTAAGTGGACTAATTGGAGTGGATGGCCCCTGCTGTTTCGCATACCTATTCCTCTACTGTATTCTTTATTCCCAACTCACCCTCGCTGTCCTTGTCCAACCTTGTTCCTTGTTTGTTAATGTTGTCGTCGTCATGCAGATCACACCGCGAGTTGACGTTCTTTTCGTGCGCATGTTGTGCATGACCAAACACTGATCTAAGGGTCCAAATGGCTGCTATGTGAAGTCTGGAGCCTTTTTGCTAAGCCTAAACATCATCCCTAAATGAGTCCGCGTCGATAAAACTACCAGTCCGTGAGTTCAATTTCAAGCTCTTGTGACGCTACCCAGTGAAGTAAAAAGTGCTCAAAACCAGTAAGGCAGCCTATTTCTACAATTGATCGCTTACCGTCGTGGGTAGGGAAAACGTCTGGAATCAATTATGATTTATAGATTGACAGACGGGATGATTTTAGATGTTGACCATCGTGCTGGATATACCATAGCTGCATATCGGGTTGGATATAAAGCACTGTAGACCTGTGATCCATTGAATTTACAATGATGCTGGATATACTTTAGCCTCGTATCGTGCGGCTTAGACCGCATCCATGTATTATTTCACATATAGCAAACCAGTGTGTAGTGCCAGATGTACCCTAGTCAAATGTGGTCCTTGGATATCTTTGCTACGTACCTTACCATGCTGGATATACGGTAGTCCTGTGTCGCATTGCAAAAATTCTTGCTTGGATTTATTATAGCCGCATATGTTTTGAGGTTATATCATAGCTGCGTAGCTGGCTACGATGATTTCATGGAACGGATAATGGTAGCCGTCCATACGTGCGGTTCTATTTTTCATTCGATCTGAACTGGACAAACATGAAAAATCTCATGATACGCTGTACATTTTTTTTTTTAACGACTGCCTCCAAGTGTGCTATCGCCATGTGCTGGGCATGCTGGCTATGTGGGAAGCTGATTAGCATTCCAGATGAGCCACTAGGAGTCTGTGTGGGAGGATGGCGAGGTGGTATAGGCCACAACCACAAACAAGTATGATGCTTAATGAACGAAGGAATGAATGAATATTCTTCCCGCAAGTGTTGTTTCTACACTCAGTAACGGAGAATACAGCTAACAATAAAACGGAGGCGTTGAGATGTCATAGCCCTCCGCATCCCGTACGCCGGCACAACAACGGATCCAACACGTTCGCGGGAGCTGCTGTGAGCGTGGAGAGTGGGAAAAATTCAGAGCTGTCATATGGCGTGAGGTCAGATAAAGGATTTGTGTTTAAAAAAGGGGGAAAAAAAAACGCATGCTGTAATACAGTCAACCGTCGTCAGTGCCATCCAGTCACCCACTCTGAAGTGGACGATAAATCGTCATCCGGTATGCACGTCACTGTCCTTCGGTGCGAACCCCTTCCTCACTTTGTCACCACCTCTTTGCTCCAGCTGCCTCATCAACAGTCTTACTCAGTCAGAACCGGGCTGTCTATCACTTAGCAATGCTAATGCACTTTATTCAATTTTTCTCAAATTTTGTGAGTTTTCATAATTTTATTTGAGCAAAAAAAAAACCAACAAAACATTATTGTTATTTGAAGAACAAGCTCCAAATATTTTCATATTTGTTACCATGATAGTGTTCGTCTACCTGGATGTAGCTCAACTACCCAGAGTTGATGTCACCTTGGACTTGTTTCGAAAGCAGGCCAATTGGACTCATCGAAACGCGATGAATCAACAACTGAATAATCGCAAATTGATTACTATGCCTGTCCCTTGCATTTGACTGATGATTTCTATTAGGTTGGGGCCAAAACAAATGATGAGTTTCATTATTCAGAAATTCCCTGTCAACTCCTCCCAGAATAATCGTCGTTCATGCCCGTACTATAGTTTCCAGGCAGTGTGTCGCCGGTGGGCCGGTGTTAGCGAGCGGAACACCACCATGCACATACGCGTGTGCTCAATCATTCATTCGTTTGTTTGCTCGCACGTAATTATGGCGATGTGCAGCGCTCAGGGAAATTGCAGCTTACGCAGAGAAGGTCGTGCCGAGCAGTTGACTGCTCATTTGGCACGCCGAGTAAAACAAACAAGGATTATAAAAAAAAAAGAGAGAGAGTGAGCAAAAAGAGAGGAATTCGGAAAATGTGATGATTTTGTTTATTTCAGCTGGAGTTCACAGGCGATCCGGTGGCCTTCAGAGGACACATTTAAACAGAGTTTCGTAACGGAACACCTTAGATGAGTCACGCTCAGCTCATAGCACTGAAACCTCAGACTCATCAACACTGTGCTTGCCATATTAGCTGCCTTTGATCGTTTGAAACTTACGTAAAATATAACATCCACTCTCCTTAAGCGGGATACAAACACAACAATAATCGGGCTGAATTTGAACATTTTCCTCATTCCAGCCAAAACCATGATCAGATGTTTTTTTTTTTGTTTATCTTGTGGTGTGTCACAAGTCATTTTTCCTGCATGACAAACTGCTGGGGCGGACAGTGGGGTAAGGGCTTCAGCTTGTCTTGCTAAAATGACCTACACATCTGTACATTTTAGCTTTGAGGTTGGAATCTACAAGACAAAAACAATCAAAAATGATAAATCAAATCCTACAGTCACCCACCCTTATTATAATATTTAGAAGCAAGGCTGACTTGCTCTCAATTTTCTATTACAATCCCCGAAAAGCAAAAGCCAGTCGACCAGCTTGCCTCATTAGCATAGCAGTGCCTAGTAACAAGGTCATACCAGTAGCATTTTCGGTTAATGTGCTAACAACAGCACGGTGTTATTTCATGGCTCATTTCATGGGCCGTCCGAGAAGTTTAAGCTTTGCCTGTTGATTTCGATGGATTCATCTGACTTTCCAGACGGCTTCACCCCGAACTTGCATTTAGCTTAGTTTGAAAACGAAAAAGTTTCTTGCTATGTTAGCGGAGCTGGCACCAGATGTCTTGGCTTTTAGCATAGTGTCAGCGTTTCGGTTAATGAGCTTACAATGTCAAAGTGTTTTATTACTGATCACCAACGGGAAGTATAACGATATAACCTTCTGTCGGTCACACTCCACTGATGCTTCTTAGCAAATATGGCTGCCCTTTGTTGCCTTATTTGGGTTGGAGAGGTGAATATATTTACCGTAAATGTAACTGCAGTGTAGCCGATGAGACCAGTGGCACATCTGGCTCATAACCCCCACCACCAGCAGCAGCATCAGCATCAGCATCAGGCCTGCTGCCATATCCTGGCTCAGCCGCATGGGCTCAGGTCGGGCTGGTGGCAGCAGTGTGGCCTCCCCCTAGGGAGGAGCTTTACCTTTTTTTTTTCCCAGCTCCGGGCTTAATCTGTCTGCTTTCAGTGCGTGCCAAAATATATACGGACTAGTTTATTATGATTTATGCTAATATTGAACAATTAAAAGTCAAACCAAATCTATTCTGGGATTGTGGCTGACCTCAAAATGATCATCAAATTTTGATGCCGTCCACCCACATTAGGTAGCATTGACAAAAAAAGGCTTGCAATTCATGGATGCCTGCTTCTATTTGGAGCTCACTTGGGCGAATTCCCTTTTCGCAGAGCGTCAAAGTACTAGCCCTGGAATTCACCCAAAAAGTCCGCGTCAAACGAAAATGGGTGACTTCCTGTTCAATTTTGGGCATGGGTCCTTGAAATATTTTCATATGTCCGTTATGATAGAAAGATACACAGATGAGGTAGTCCAATAGCATTTTCCCCATTTTCATTTTGACTTTTTGTGTGGCACATATTCAGATTCGGAAAACTCAAATTATTCCCGTTGGGGTAGACACAGGCACAGTTATTTACATATATGACAGTTAAATAGCATTTATCAAGCGTCACTGAATAAGCGAGGAGCCACGTCGCTTTATCCATGGCTCGTTGATTTTCATGAATGGCTCGTTAATGTTCATTTTTACAGCAGGGCAGAAAAACAGATTGCTGCCAAAAATGCATTGAAAATGTTTATTTCACAGTTTTGCATACCAAAGTACAAATGACATTTAGCTAGCTTAGCTATTTGTAGCGCATAGCTTAATCCAGTGCTTGTTTCAGTGTTAAAATCTAACAGGAGGGCTGAATTAAAAACTGAC